GGAGTGCTGCCAGCTTTTCTTTTTATCACATCACGATGTAGCGAACAAATGTGGCACGTTCCAGAAACCCCTACTTGGGATTTGCAGATTTTGACAATTCTCAAGTAAAAGTAAACAACGCTTTAGAAACTTTAGATGCACGAAATTTGCTACTTTCACAAAAATCGCCGTTTTTTAACATTTTCGCTTTTAATTCTTTTTTATAAATCATATGTTTTGCAATTTAAGACAATAAAACCACGTTTCCTGTCGAAAAATTGAATATTGAGAAAATTTACTAGTTAGTGTTTAGTGTTGGACAACTTTTGCTCTTAAAATTAAGAAAATTATCTCGAGCAAAAATAAAACTACTCAAATACGCGAATATGTGGTAGATTTCAGACCTTGTGTGGTAGATGTGGTAGATGCTCAAAAAAGTGGCCGATCTACCACAATGTGGTATGAGTCCGATCACTGGTAGATGCCAAAATGACGTTGCTCTCATGAGAACCAAACCTTTAAACTTCAACTTGGTTTTGTTTTATTTCCTATATTTCGTTACGCTTTAAATGTCATGTCGTTTGTTTTTTTGAATGTTCGTTAAAAACAAATTTGAATTAGCATTTGAATTTTTGTAGTTGTGCGGTTTATACTTAGTGTATGTGTTAAAAATGCAACACCTGAAGCGTCGTTTTTATGTGGTGTTAAATATAAATCAGATACCACTAATTTTTTTAACGTGCCTCAATGCCCTTCGCGTAAGGAGTGTTGCGAAAGCAGCTGTGGGGCAGAGTTGCAGCGAAATGCCTTACTGTGCGTTAAATATTTTAAAGCAGCAGATTTTATAAATGCACCGGGAGGTACAGGAAAGGCACGTTTGATGCCAAGTGCTGTTACTATGACTCAAAGCGAATTTATACAAGGTAGTGTTGTAAAATCAGCTGATTTCTTCGCCTTAAATGTATTTTGTTTTTGCTTTTACTGATTTGACAGCACACCCATCAAAAGCAAAAACAAAATACATGTAAACTTTGGAGCGAATTGAGATTTGACATAACACCCTCCATACAAAATACATGTGGTTGTCGTTGTTGTAATCTAAATTCGCCAGTAACACCACCTTGTATAAATTCGCCTTGCTATGACTCGTATGCCGGAAAGTCCCTCCAACAACACTGCAACTCATAAATCAAAGACAGAAAACAACAAACAAATTAACAAATTTTAACTAAAGAAAATAAATAAATAAAATTAAACTTCAAATTTACTTAAAAACGTCAACCAGTGAAATGTAATTTTTTATTTTTCCTTACACACGCTCAGTTTTATTTTTACTTCCCCGAAAACTTTGACTTTTGTAGGTTTGACGTCAAATTGGCTTCTACCTGTTTTTATTGTACCATGCGCGGATGTGAATGAAT